GATTAGACTCATGTTTGACCTTATAACAAGTCTCAGACACATCATGGGAATACCAACTAAATGCTGTTGAAGTTATTAAGTTGAATTTAGATAAGAAGAGTTAGGCAAAACCACAGAGGATCCTCAAAGAACAAATCATGACTTTAACAGAAAGTGAAATTAATTTGAATTTGTGCTGCCTACAATTTTTTAGTATTAAGTATTGATTTCTATTAGTAAGCTTAATAAAAGCTTAACAACAACAAAAAAGATCTAAGTTGGGCTATTTCACTATTACAAGGATTTTTTAATTTAGAGAAATGAAAACCAAAACTACATTGGAAATATACAACAAAAATGATGTTCCAATGAAATGAAAGGAAATTGAAACAAGGGAATGAAAATATTCCCTAACTTGAAGAGGATTCATGTACAAATAATCCCCAAACCAGTTTCTGTAGAGACTATTTTTCTGCTCGTTATGAGTAATGATCCAGGTGTGCACAATAATAACAATAAAATAAGTCATCACTGATAGTTTGTCAACTTTCAGTCATATGAAAACCATAGCTTTTACAGTATTTTTCAAGATAAAACAGTATGGAGGTTCCTAAAGAAGTTAAAAATAGGTCTACCGTATGACCCAGCCATCCCTTTTCTGAGTATATACCCGAAGGAAATGGAATCATCACTCGTAAAGATACCTGCACTCTCATGTTCACTGCAGCATTATCCACAATGGTGAAAAGATGGAAACAACCAAAGTATCTACAGATGAGTGGTGGAGAGATTTGTGATGTATATATACAATGGAATGTTATTCAGCCTTAAGAAAAAAGGAGGCCCTGCTATTTGTAACAACATGGATGAACCTAGAGGACCTTGTGCTAAGTGTAAAAGCCAGACTGAAAACTACTGCATGATCTCACTTAACTGTGGAATTGTAAAAGGAAAAAAAAAACAAGACAAAACAAAAAAAAAAATGAGAAGAAACAGAAGAGAATGGTAGTTACCAGGGGATGGAAATGGGGGAATGGGGGAAATGGGAAGATGTGGATCATAGGGTACAAAGTTGCAGTTACATACGTATAAGTCTAGACATCTAATGTACAGTGTGAGGAGTATACTTAATATTGTTGTATATTGGAAATTTGCTAAGAGTAGATTTTAGGTACTCTTACCACAAAAAAAAAGTAACTGAGGTCATGGGTATGTTATTTTGGTTAACTGTAGTAATCATTTCACTATGTATATGTATATAAAAACATGTACACCTTAAATACATACAGTTAACCCTTGAACAACGTGGCAGGGCCAGGGTTAGGGGCATGAACACCCCCTGATCCCTGTTGAAAATTCAAGTAATAACTTTCCCCTGGGTTGTGGCTGCATATCCAGAGCCCCTCGTGCTGGGGAGTGGGGGCTGCTGCATCCTTACTTAAGTAGTAGTTAAGTACTTTACTAATAGCCTACTGTTAGGAATGCTACTCAACTGTTTAGTTAGGTGACCCACACAGTTCAAACCCATTGTTCAGGGGTTTGTTGTATATAAGAAAAATATTTTTCAAGGTACATTTTCCATAGTTAGAGGATAGAACATATTTATCACTTCTACATATTTTAAACTTATGGTATGTGGACCTCTACTTGTGTTTGTATTTGTGCCCTGGCCTCTTGCAAATGTTAGTGGGGGGCCCACCATCAGCAATGACTGGGAGTACCCGCCTCCTTATCTGACAGGTGAAGGGTGACATTGGTACTTTAACCTGCTATTCCCTGACTGTTAATGAGTTTGAGCATTTTGCATTTGTTTGTGGGTGATTCTTTGCTATGCATTTGCCTGTGTTTGTCCCCTTCTTATCAGTCTGTGTTGTAAAAAAAATAAAATAAAATCCAAAATCTGTTTTGATTTTGCTTTTACTTTCTTTATGGTATTTTTGTTATATAAAAGATTTTTATTTTTTTGTAATCAAAATGCCTTTTATACCTTGTGAGAATAGAAACTCAAAACATATTCCCCACCTTGAGAAGATCCCTAGATTTTCTTGAAAGATTTTTTAAGGGTTTTTTTGTTATTAATCAACACATAATAATTATACATAATTATAAATAATTATGGGGTACAGTGTGATGTTTCAATACATGTATATATTGTGTAATGATGAAATCTGAGTAATTAGAATATCCATTACCTCAAATACTTGTTATTTCTTTATGGTGAGAACATTCAAAATCTTCTCTTCTAGTTACAGGATATTGTTTTATGTTTTATATTTAGGTCTTTAGCCATTTGGAATTAGTTTTTGTGATGATGAAGGGTAGGGCTCCTGTTTTCTTCTACATAGAATGCCAAATTCCTCTTTCTAGCTACTATTCAGTCTCTCCATGTGATTGCCTAACATCAAGCTTATACCCAGAACTGGATTTTTTATTTCCCCACTCCACCCCACGCATCCACACACACACCGACAACAAAACAAAACAAACAAACAAAACAACCTATTCCTAATAGTCTTCCACTAAAGGATAAATGCTTCTTATATCCTTTCAGTTGTTGAGGCCAAAAGCCTTAGGGTCTTTTGTGATTTCTCTCTCTCACATCCATTTCACCTGCAAATTTTATCAGCCCAACTTTCACAATGTCCCAAGTCCAGCCTACTGCTTACCCTCTCTGCTGAAACCACCCTAACACAAACCACCATCTCCTCAAGCCTCCTGACTGGTGTCTGTTTCTACTCTTGACTCCCTCAGTCAACTTCGCACCATAGCCAGAATAATTCTTTTAAGGTAAACTTTTAATAGAAGGTCAGCACCCAGGTCAGGAAACAGGAGGTTGCCAGGAGCTCCCCACCATGCCCCCTTCTGTTCAGCACCCTCCTCCTGAAGTGACCACTTACCCGACTTACATAGATGAGTGCTGCCTGTTTTTTCACTTTGTTTAAATGGAATCATGTAGTACACACTTTTTTGGCCTGCCTTTCAACATTATACTTCTGAGATTCGTCCATTTGTTGGAATAGTTCATTCTCATTGCGCTATAGTATTCCATCTCATTAAGATACCACAGTTTATCTACTCTACCTTTGGTGGACATTTGTGTTTTCAGTCTGGGATTACAGTAGTCCTCTTTTATCTCTGGTTTCACTTTTCAGGGTTTCAGTTACCAACTGCTGTTTGGAATTTTGAAAGAAGACCACATTCACATAACTTTTATTACAGTGTATTGTTATAATTGTCCGATTTTATTATTAGTTATTGTTAATCTTTTACTGTGCCTAATGTATAAGTTAATCTTTATCATAGGTAATAGGTATGTATACATGGGAAAAACATGTATAGGGTTCAGTACTATCCAAGGTTTCAGGCACTCACTGGGGGTCTTGGAACATAGCCCCCAAGAATAAGGGGGGACCAATGTATCACAAATAGTGATGCTGTGAACACTTTTGTACACTTTTTTTTGGTGAACATATGTCCACATTTTTGATGGACAAATATACAGATGTATAATTGCTGAGTCATCAAGTATGCATATGTTCAGCTTTAGATATTGCCAAATAGTTTTCCAAAGGGGTTGTACCAGTTTACACTTCCAGCAGTATTGAAGGATAATTCTAGTTCCTGCACATCCTTACCAAGGCTTGATATCATGTCTTTTTCATATTAGCCATCATAGTGGGTGGCGATAGTGGTAAGAATGATTAAATTTTAAAAATAACTCAGATTGTGACACTTCTCAGCTCAAACTGCCCAGTGTCCTCCCATCTCACTCAGAATAAAAGCCTTAACAGTGGCCTGAAAGTAGGATGATCGTATGATTTAATGTTCAAACTGGGACTTATTTTTGAGAGTTAAAGGAACACTGTTAATAATTAAGCTAAGACAACAGGCATAAATTTGGACTGTAATCAGGATGGGTAATCAGGATATATGATCATCCTGGGTAATCAGGCTGTATGTTGACCGCACTTGTCAGAGCCTTCACCCCTGGCCATCCCTCTGACCTTCATCCTACCATTCTCTCCCTCATTTTATTCTCTCCAACCACAGTGACCCCATTCATGAACATGGCAAGCATGTTTCTGCTTCAGGAACATTCTTCCCCAGCAATCAGCGTGGTGTTCCCTTGCTCCCTTTAGAGGCACCATATAAAAAACCACCTCCCCACCATCACCCTACCATTACACTGCTCTATTCTTCTCCTTAGTTTTTATTGCCACATGAAATTTTTATTGCTCTGTTACTATCACCCTCTGCCCCAGTGCAAACTCCATGGGAGAAGGGACTTTGTCCACTTAGTTTATTGTTGTGTCCCAGCACTTAAAACAGTGCCTCAAATATAGTTCATTATAGAATCTGGGTGGTGGGTATATGAGTGTCAGTGTACAATTTCTTCAACTTTTTTATTTGAAAATTCATAATAAAATTTGGGGGGGGGTCGGAATTAATTTATTTGATCTTCACAGCAGCCCCTTGAAACAGGTACTCAAAGTCGGGTCCGAGGACAGGCAGCACCAGCAACACCTGGAAGGTTGTCAGAAGTACAGGATCTTGGGTCCCACCCTGTATCTACCAACTTATTTCTTCCCTTTTTTTTTTTTTTTTTTTTTTTTTTTTGGCAGCTCCAGAACTTTGGGGGATGGATCCAGGGACCCAAGAGATTCTTATGCAGACCAAAGTTTGAGATGCATTCTATTATTTTATCCCTGTTTTGTAGATAAGAACAATGAGATAGGAATAAAACTTAACTAAGGACACAGAATATGGTGGTGTTGGGATTGGATATACTCTTAAAGGGGAGATCTGAAGGAACGTCTTGCAAATCTACCTGTAACTAATATGTAGATAAGAAGCATACAGGCTTTCTTTGCCATTTTCATGAGTCTAGAATGTTGGAAACAAAGTGCCCCATTTGCCCTTAACATATAATGTGGGGATTTAAATGGTTTTAAGTTACACCGTTGGCTGTGGGAGCGTTTCCCATCTTCAGCCTGTCACTTTTTTCTGTTTATTTTTGGCAGAAACTTGGGAACCGTGGGTGCTGTTGCCTTGGACCGCAAAGGAAACGTAGCTTATGCAACCTCCACAGGCGGTATCATTAATAAAATGGTTGGCCGAGTTGGGGACACACCGTGTATAGGTAGGACTGAAAGACAGCTCCTGCCCCTTCTCCTTTCCTTCCCTATCATCAGGTTTTCCTCGTTTTCTGTTCTTCGCCCCGCTGTCCTTTTCTTCCCTTTCTTCCTTTCTTCATTTCCTTTCTCCTGTTGGTGGCAGCTTCAGAATTTCTGGAGTTGCATTGGGTTGGAAGGCGTTGTTCAGGGCACTTCTTTGAAAGGATATTTGTGTCTGGTAGGCACACTGTTTTTCCTAGATTGCATGCTTTTTAGGGACTACTTGGGAGAGTAATGGAGATGGGGATGCTAAAGTGCCCCCAAGCTACCCTGCAGTGCCTCTGTCTTCTCCTTAGCCCTGGTTTCAGGATCTGTAGACTTACTCGCAGAGTACGTGAAACCTCTTCGCAGGTGTGGGCTCAAATTAATGATCTTAGGAAGCTGAGAATTTAAGTTTGCAGTTATAGATTTGAGTGGCATGAAAGTGACACGCTTCTACAGAAATATCACAGATTGAAATGTTCTTTGCCTCAACATTGAAGCACATTAGCTCATTCCCAGGAGTGCATGAGTGGCAGGGTGGGGGCGGTTGTGAATGTTTCACTCTGTGCAGACTATCAGACCTTCCTTGTGGAAATCACCACTAGCCCCTGCAGATGGTTGAAGTTCTGAGAAACAGCTCAACTGTTCCACACGTCCAAAAGAGCAGCGTATACTTGCAGTGGGAAACTAACCGTACCCTCCCTTTTTAATTTGTTGCTCTAATCTTTAATAATAATCTACGGTCTTGATGATTCTTGATACTCTTTATATTGTCATGAACTCAGATTAGACACTCAAAGCTTCTCTAAAGAGTAGAGGCCTGATAGCCTCACTCCCCTGAAATATGAAATAGTCTGCCTTTCTTTCCTCCTTAGCAAAAATCCTCCCAAAATATTTCTGCCCAGATAGTGTAGTTTGCATCTGGGTGGGTTCAGACCAGGCTACAGGACCACCCCAGTCATATGCTACAAACTAATCTTGAACTTATTGAGTTACAATAGCAGAGTCTCGAAAGAGAAAAGGCACAGCATAAATTCTCAGAAGTCGTTGTCTTGGTTATGAGCAGCAAGTGTGCTCTGCTTGGCCTTTCTGATGAGCCCTCCCCTGGGAGTGCACCAGCTGGCCACAGGGACCCTGCACGGACAGTCAGACGGGGCAGTGTTGGGGGCCCTTCACAGTCCTGCTACCCATGCCAGGACCACTCTTTGAGCCACCATGGCCTTTTGTGGTCCTAGAATAACTGAAAAGAAAACAAAGTCTTGGCTGCTTCCAAATATCAGGGCCTGATTGACACCATGGGATCTAGCCAGTTCATCCCACAGCAGAAGCTTACAAGAAAAAGGAAAAACGCCTTTTCTGATTGCAATAGTTCACATTCCCTACCCAGCCTCAGCTCCCTCCAGAACCAGGGGATCATCTGCCTTTGAGAACTCTTGGAACTTTGTACATTCAGTGCAACTTCTCAACTCCTGAGTCCTTTCCCCACATCCAGCATCAATAAAGAAGGTAAATGTCAATCATGTGATGCTTCTGTATCAACTAGGGGGAGAGTAAAGGTGAACCCAAGGCTAAAGGACTCTAGGGCTGGTAGCCGTGGGTGAACAGATACGGAATGATGGAGAGAAGGCTAAAAGGTTGCTCAATCCTGGACCAAAATAAGGAAGAAATCGTATCTAAGCTTGAGTTCCAGACCCCACTTAAGTGCATAGCCCAGAATAGTTCCCTCAGGTCCAATTAAGCTGTCCTCAACAAGTAGAACTGCCCTCCGAATCACTGGGCAGTATGTATGCAGGTTAGGTTTGGAGGTATCAGTTTCCCCAAAGTTATTTGAATGTGGCCTTTGTAGTGATCCATACAGCGCAGTCACATGGTATTCTTTTTCTTCATAGTGTGTGGTGTGGGGAGGAGAAAGGGAGAGGGGTGTCTTCCTCGATCCAGATGGGATGGATATGCTTTGGGGCAAGGAGGTGCTGTCCTGATGTAGCTGTTCTGTGAAAGGTCAGGCCTCCGTCCCCTAAGACTCCCCTCATTCTCCTGGTTTCCAGGGTATTTACACTGTGCTGACTAGTCCATCTTTGCATCCACAGGTCATGGCTACTAATCTGACCTTTGTCTACACTCCAGCACTCTGGGATTTAACATTTATGTAGCATTAGACTTGTAACGTGTGTTCGAATTTCTCGATTGTTGCTGCTCAATTAGAACCAATCATCTTTTTTGAGCAGGATCAGGAGGTTATGCTGACAACGACATTGGAGCCATTTCAACCACAGGGCACGGGGAAAGCATCCTGAAGGTGAATCTGGCCAGACTCACTCTCTTCCACATAGAACAAGGTACACAGAACATAGAACAGTTCATCACTTGTGAAGACAAGTATATAAAAGCTATTTGCTAAATAGATGGAGAAGTATATGAAACCCTTTCTTGTTTGTGACAAATGTTGCTTTCAGGTGTTAACAGTTTATTTTGACTCTTTCCACCTTGTTAGGATGTGGAATAGGAGCGCATTTAGAATACTGTTGTCTTTCGCGTCTCAGGAGAAGGGGGCAGTAGAGAGACGTTGGGCCTCCATGTGGGAGGGAAGGCAACTCTGCTTAGGCTGATACCAGGGCTCTGTGTCAGGGCAAGGAGGTGAGGATCCTCCTTTTAAGCATTCAAGTAGAAATCATTTACTAAAAGTCTTTTTTAATTTGCTTTGGTTTTTAATATCACAAATGATTTTCCCATCAGATTCCTTTCAGTAATGTGTGTTGTTTCTCAACCTTTCCCTGTCTGCAGGAAAGACATTAGAAGAGGCTGCTGACCTGTCATTGGGTTATATGAAGTCAAGGCTCAAAGGTCTAGGTGGCCTCATCTTGGTGAGCAAAACAGGAGACTGGGTGGTAAAGTGGACCTCTGCCTCCATGCCTTGGGCAGCTGCGAAGGACGGCAAGCTGCACTCTGGAATTGATCTTGATGAAACCACTGTCACAGACCTGCCCTAAGCTTCTGTCAGATTGTATTCTAGATGCTAGCCTGGAGGTGCAGTACAGCTTCCTGGCATGGAGACATAGCTTACTCAATTAGATCTAGAATGGAAAAATTATAGTCTGTCACTCATTTTGTTGCCTTCATCAATAAGTATCTGAATGTTCGGCTGAGGGGCAGGTTCTGAAGTGATGAGAAAAACTCCCGTGTTAATATCAGAAGAAGACTAGTGAGGATGACAGCCACTAGCCAGCCTTTCTGTGGCACAGCCTCATCATGATAGGTTAGAGAGCTGCCTCAGTCAGGGAGGGCCTTTTGGAATTGGGAGCTGGGGCTTGAAAAGTGGAGGATTTGAAAGTGAGACCTGAGCAGCAGCAGAGGAGCTGTGGGCAAGGCCCAGGCAGCCTACAAATGTGGCAGGGTTTGTTTTGAGTCACAAGAACATCAGGTAAAAGAATGAAAATCCTTTAAGCAATGTTCTTCATGTATGAGAGGATAAACTGATTTTTCTAGGAAAGTTCAGATCTTCTTTGACTTACTAATATATGCGTGTTTCCAGATACTTTCAAAGGACCCTCTGGTAACTCATGGCTCCCTAACCTGGAGACAGAGGGTCAGAATGGATTCTGTGGGATTCCTTGAAGTCTGAGGGGTTTTTTGGGTTCACAGATGAGCCCCCTTACTTAGTGTTCTCTTACGAGCCAGCACAGTGGGCAGAGCCGGCCTCTGCCTGCCACAGACTCTCTGGTCCTCGTACAGAGAGTAACGGGGCTCATGGTTTCTCCAGCAACAGGGTGTCGCCAAGCGATGTAGAGAAGACACCATGACTTCAGGGGCTCTCATACTGTCCAGTGCTCTGGGACACACCATGCCACGCCCCTCTCCCCCTCCCCCCAAATTGGGTGTTGTACAATGTGGTCAACATGGTGGAGAAAGTAACTTCCTTGGTGGAGAGTATTCCTACTGATCTCTCATGACACTGGAAATGTTATTTCTGCTGTGACATACTGCTTGATTTTTTAATCTGTCAGGGCTTTCCTTCTCTGTGGATATTGCTTCACTTTACATTCCGTGTGCCACTAATGTATTTGCAAGAATAACAGTGTGGTTAGGAGTCACTGCTGACAAAGACTAGAATGTACACGAGCTCTCCCCTTGGTCTCCCAATTCAGACAGGTTACTAGATAAAGAGGACTTTTCAGAAAAGGGTGGTGTGTGGGTGTGATAATACCTCCCGCCTCATGGATTTTATTCAAGAGTTTTCTAGAAGAATTAAGCTTTTTCTGAATGGGTTAAGGAAGAAACTAAACCACCATTTGCAAGTATCAACAGGACTTATGGATCAGTCTTCTTGCAGTTTGCCAGTATTCACTCGAGATAGAATCACACAGTTCTAGCTCTGATCCCAAGACCCTCCCCAGGCTCACATCAGCTGCTCTGGACTAAAGAGAGAGAGAAGGCACAGGGAGGCAGGACTGCTCCCCACCGCCCGGTGACCCTGGTTAAGTTGACATTCAAGAATTTTTCATCAATAAAATAGATTACTGGACTGGCCGGTTAGCTCAGTTGGTTAGAGCATAGTGCTGATAAAATAGATTATTATGAAGATTAAATGAACATAATAAAAAATAGCTCAGTTTTTTATCTTAAGGATCCTATGGACAAATTTGGAAACTGCCCAGGCCCAAGAGGAAGTTTACGTGTTTATGTCCTTGAATACCTCAATATGTATGTAATAACTGCCTCTTTAGAAATAAGTCTTTTATAAGAAAGTATATTCGTTTGCTAGGGCTGCCACAACAAAATCCCAGACTGAGTGGCTTAACCAACATTTATTTTCTCAATTCTGGAGGCTAGAAGTCCAAGATCAAGGTGTCAACAAATTTGGTTTCTCCTGAGACCTCTTTCCTTGGCTTATAGATGGTTGTCTTCTGTGTCCTCACATGGTCTTTTCTCTGTACATGCACATCTCTGGGCCCTGCGTGTCTTAATATCCTCTTATATGGACATCAGTCAGATTGAATTAGAGATCACCCTAACAGCCTTATTTTAACTTAATCATTTCTTTAAAGGCCCTGTCTCCAAAATAGTCACATTCTGAGGTACTAGGGGGTAGGTGACCCTGCGTGTCTTAATATCCTCTTATATGGACATCAGTCAGATTGAATTAGAGACCACCCTAACAGCCTTATTTTAACCTAATCATTTCTTTAAAGGCCCTGTCTCCAAAATAGTCACATTCTGAGGTACTAGGGGGTAGGGCTTCATGTGAATTTGGGAGAAGACAGAATTCAGCCCCTAACAGGAGGCAAAGCAGAATCATGGTAGGGATTGAAAAGGGAAGAGACCCTCTGGAGAAGACAAGTCACTAAGTCGATAAGGAGAAAGGCAGGGGTGGGTGGGGGAGTAGAGAGGCAGTTGAAAGATATGATTTTGAGTTTATCTAATCAGTTCTGTTCACAAGGGAGGTAACTAGTTATGAAAGACTGCTAGAGGCTTAGGTAGTAGCCGCTTGACCTCTGTCTGGCAGCCAGGGTACTGGGGTACAAAGTCATCAGCCCCTTTGTGCAAAGCCAAGGCATATATTCTGTCCTCAGACCCAGGTTCTATGAAAAGCCACCTCCACTAGCCTGGGAATTCCATAAGTGGAGAACATGTGTGGTTCTCGCTTTTGCCCCCACACATTGCCTAGTGGCCTGCTCCCTAACTATGTGTCAAACAAATAAATGAGCAAGATATTATCTGAAAGGGAATGACAGTCTTTTTATCACTTCTGTGCCACAAGAGGGCAGCAAACAGTAAAACATCTGACGGTTTCAGTAGCTCAAAGAGGAGGTAATTTATCTTGACTCTGGATCAGAACAGTCTGCTCAGAAAACTTGGAACCAGAAGAGGATTCCTGACCTTCATTTTTATCTAAATAGTACGATTTATTTTAGAGCAGAATTGTCCAAAACACAAATGCTAGCAAATGCCCCTCAAGACCCGTCTGAATCATCAGCTGAAGCCCAGTGTGCACCCAGCCCGCTGCTGGATGCAGGATCCCAAGGTGAGCAAGGCCAGGCAGCCCAGCCCCTCCCTCGGTTGCTCCTTCTAGCCAGGAAGACAGATAAATTGTAATTCGGCCTATGCCCGCCATAATGGTATAACAAGGAGCACATGATGGGCCAGAGCCAAGGGCAAGTGTCCACCCAAGCAGGAGATGCTGGAGTCAGCCCCCTATGCTGAGCTGCAGGGACGAGTCCCAGCTAAGGAAAGGCCTTAACCTTGTAGCTGTTGCACAATAAACATGTTTTTAAAATAATGTCCTTTCTAGACATTCCTCTCTAGCATGAGAGATTATAAACTCTGAATGCAAGGAAAGGTGGAATCGGGTGACATCATCCTTTTTCAATGTCCCTGTCATCAGAATGGGGATGTGTGGGAAAGCTGCTGGGGGACACTGTCATTCTTCCAGCCCATACCTTCTCTACACTTCTCCCATCAGCTGCATCTTTGCCCAAAACCATCACTGAGTGTGGATTTCATAGCTATGTTGAAGGAACCAGGAAGAGCCACCATGGAGCTTGCCCAGCTCAGACAAGTGCAGGTGTCCTCTCTCTCCTCTCTGCATAGGTGTAGGCATGGCCCAGAAAGGAATGGGGGCTGGGCTGAAGGACAGGCAGAAACAGGTCTGGGAACGGGATTGGGAGGAAGTTGGGCCTGTAACACAGTAGGATTGGGGTTGGAGCGGGTGTGGTGTGGGTGCCCATTAGTGGCTACATTCAAAGTATAAATACCATGAAATGGGAATGCAGCCATTCTACCTTACCCCTCCCCACATATGTGCACTCAAAGAGAGTTGAGCCATGGTCACAGGTAGCACAACTCTCCTGAGAAGGTAAAAGTGTGCCAGGGAGGCGCAGGGGTTATTCTACCCTCTAGACAGATGGAAATATAAGGCTGAGAAATTGGAGTGTCCCCCAGGGCATTATTCCACGCAGGTTAAATTGAGGTTTGTCCCAACCTCCCTATTCTCAAATCCTATGGCTCTTAGCCCTGATATGACTATCCTTGCCATACCCTCATGGCAGCCAACATCCTCCCAGATCCAGGAAAGCCCAAGAGCATTCCAGGGAGAAGCAGGAAAAACCAGAACATTTTAGCAATTTTATCCTTCAAATTCTGGGGCTTTCCAATCCAGTGTTAAAATGAAGTTGGATTTTCAGTGAAAGGGTCAGGCATGGACTGGTTGACAGAAAACTAAGCTGGAATAATTTTTTTTTTAATTGCTGATCTTCTCAGAGTTGACTCTTGTGCTATGCAATTATCAGCACTCTCTGGATTCTGTGCAGAACTCAGATGGAGGTTTGGGTTCTACTCAAGGCTGGGAGCCAGGAAGAAAAGAAGTTGGGTCTTCCCATTGTCAGACTGAGGCTTCTCCCCTTAGTGGCCACCACCTAATGCCTGGGTTAGATTGTTCAGTTGCAGGATAGCAATTTTTTACTAAACATTTTTAAGTTAAAAAAAAAAAATTTAATACAACAAAAGCAGTGTATGTGTAGGAGTTGTGAAAAAATAAATTTTAAAATAATGAAAATTTTAAAATACGTGTGAGAAAACAGATAAATTTTAAAAAAGGAAGTAATTTTCCATCACCCAGTAAATATCACTATTGATACCTTATTGTATATTCTTCTAGATGTTTTTTCTAAGCATATTTTTTTCCAAAATGATACCATATCATTCATACTTTGTGTAACTTTTTTTCAGTTAAAATTCTCCACCTTTCCATGTCAATAAACTTTCATCTTATGTAATAATCAATATTCAAGTTTCCCCAGTTTTCTCAAAAAATGTCCCTTATAGCAGGTTTGTCCCAATCCTGTGCCTTTTTACTTGGCACTGACTTTTTGGGTGCCCCGTGTTGTCGCACCAGGCAGACCATCTCAGACAGAAGTGTCAGCATCCCTTTTGCTGCAGAAGCCAGGCAGTGCTGAGCTGTGGGATGGGACTAGGCAGAAGGTCTGCAAAGGGAGACGTGGGTTGTGGCCAAAGCACAAGGTCCCACCCTGCACAGCTACCCAGGGAGGACGGGCCACCCCGTTCCTCCTCACAGCTTCCTCTGGCCACCTGTCCCCCAGGTCACTCAGCACACAGTGTATATTTACTCCTCCCCAGCTCACCTCACCTCCGACCTTCCCAAGGGCCTGCCCCCACAGTGAGCAAGAGCTACCCCAAGTGCCTCCTGGGCAAAGGGTAGTTTTCAGAAGTATTGACAAATTAGTCCAGGTGGACTCCACTCACACAAGGTCCAGGGATATTTACCATGGGCTAAGAATCCTGTGGTTCCCTTGCTTTCCCGAACAACATTCCACGGCCTACCCCTGCAGATCGCTGGGGATTTGAACCCCGAACACCCCCAATATTCTATTCAGACACCGAGTATTAATCTTTTTAAAAGAAAGTCCAAGCCAGTTCCTCCGTCCATTCCCTCTGTGGTGGCCTCCCTGGCAAGGGGCTGCATTTTACTTGAGAGAAAAGGTACCAACAGTGCTTCCTGTCTCTAACCACCACGGCTATTGCCCTACCACCCCCTCCCCAACCTGGCCAGGTCTGTGGTGGCCTCCCTGGCAAGGGGCTGCATTTTACTTGAGAGAAAAGGTACCAAGAGTGCTTCCTGTCTCTAACCACCACGGCTATTGCCCTACCACCCCCTCCCCAACCTGGCCAGGCCCCTGACCAAGGTCTACCTGCAGGGGGCTCAGACTGAGAAGGCACTGCACTGGTGTCCTGCCAATGTGCGCAGAATTTTCCAGGCTCCTCCAAACCCAGCCCTGCCCAGGGCCAGCTCCCAAGCCCCAGGAGAGCCACCCATGAGGCATATCACAGGCAGGACCAGGACTGGGCCATTTGGCTGCCTTTCTGGCCCTGCCATGGTGCTGAGACCTTGGGCCCCCACGCCACATATGGCCCAGCTTCTGAGCACATCTTGGCATCAAGGCTTCCCATGGGGGCCGCATGGGCGGTAGCTGGACCTGTGCTCAGAAATGAAGACTGAAGAATGAGGAAACCCCACCTCTTTCCTTGGACTCTGCACCACCACAGCCAGTCCATCTGTCCCCTCCCAGGAGCTCCATCCCACCCACCCTGAAGGATTAGGTCAAGAGCCTCCAGGGGCTCCTACTGCTGACTGTGTCAAATCTAAACCTCTCAAGGCCC